ATAGATTTCTGGTTTGTGGTTACCAGGAGGTTTTGGTATAGACGACTATATAAATTCACAATGGTTAGTTGCTTATCTCTTAATTACCCTGCATTCATACTCTCCACCCCTCACAATTACTGGCTTTGATATCACGTTTTAAATCTAAGTTTCCTGTGCATTCTTTAATTGCTTACTGTGGATACAGATGGTTTTACTACTGTTGTCTTTTAACTTCCTGATAAGTTTGTGTGTGGATGATTTCCTATCTGTGCTGTATGTTTGCCTTCACTGGTGGGCTTTCCCATTTTGTAATTTTCTTGTTTCTAGCTGTGGCCTTTTTTTCTACCTAGAGAAGTTCCTTTAGGAGGCTTGGTGCCCTGAATTCGTTTAGCTTTTGCTTATCTGTGAAGCTTTTGATTTCTCCGTCAAATGTGAACGAGAGCCTTGCTGGGTAGACTACTCTTGGTTGCAGGGTTTTCTCTTTCACCACCTTAAGTATATCGTGCAGCTCTCCTCTGGCCTGTAGAGTTTCTGCTGGAAAATCAGCTGGTAACCTCATGGGAGCTCCTGTGAGTGTTATTCTTGCTTTTCCCTTGTTACTTTTAGTATTTTTCTCTTTTACTTTTTGTTAATTTGGTACTGTGTCCCTCGGTGTATTCCTCTTTGGGTTGACCCTACATGGGCCTCTCTGCACTTCCTGGATTGGGTGACTATTTCCTTTCCCAAGTTAGGGAAGTTTTTGGTTAGTATCTCTTAACATTTTTTCTCAGGTCCTTTCTCCTCCTTCTGGGACCCCTATAATGCAAATGTTAGTGTGCTTGATACTGTCCCAAAGTTGTTTTAAACTATCCTCATGTCTTTTCATTCTTTTTTCTTCCTTCTGTTCTGCAACAGTGATTTCCAATAATCTGTTTTCTAGGTCACTGGTCTGTTCTTCTACCTCATTTTTTCTACTATTGATTCCTTTTAGAGCATTATTTATTTATATTCTTCAACTCTTTTTGGTTGCTCTTTACATTTCTAAGTTTTGTTAAAAACGTCTAACTTCTTGATCTGTGCATCCATTCTCCCAAGTTCTCTGATCATCTTTACAATCATTACGCTGGTCTCTTTCTTGGGTAGATGGCTTGTCTCCACATCAGTTAGTTCTGGGATTTTATCTTGCTTTTTTCATCTAGACTGTATTTCTCTGCACCCTCATTTTGACTAAATTTCTATTTGTATTTTTATTATGCAGTCAGTTAGTTACATTTCTCGACCTTGGAGCAGTAGCCCTCTACAGCATGTCCTATGTGTCCCAGCAGTGCACCCCCTTCTTGTCACGTAAGGGTCAGCTGATCCCAGGGTTGGGTCTGTCCTGCATTTGTGAACTCTTTTGTTGCTTTGGTGTCTGCCCTCTGGTGGGTGAGTCTGGACTAGCGGCTTGTGCAGGCTTCCTGTTGGGAAGAGCCACCTCTAGAGGCAGCTGTGGGCTCAGGAGCCTTTAGGCAGCCTGTCTGCTGATGGGTGGGGCTGTGTCCACACCCAGTTAGTTGTCTGGCCTGAGGCGTCCCAGCGCTGGAGCCTCCAGGCTGTTGGGTGGAGCCGGGTCTTGGTGCTAATGACCCACGGAAGATGTCAGCCTTCGGGCAGGAGAGTTCATGCAGATGAATACTCCCCGATATGAGCACCACCGTGTCTATGTCCCCAGGTGAGCCACAGCCCCCCCGCCCCCCGGCCTCCACAGGAGACCCTCCAGGACTAGTAGGTAAGTCTGGCCCAGGCTCCTAGGAAGTCACTGCTTCTGCCTTTGTTCTCATGCACGTGGGGTACTGTGTGCTCCTTTTAAGTCTCTGCTTGCATCCCATCATCAGTCCTGTGAAGCAGCTGCACTTAAGCCCCACTGGCCTTCGAAGCCAAATGCTCTGGGGGCTCGTGTTCTTGAGACGTACCCCTGTGCTGGGGAGACTGACCTGGGCTCAGAACGCTCCCTCCTGTGGGGGCACCTCTGGAATACAGTTATGCTTGCTTGTGGGCTGCTCGCGTGGGGGTTGGGATGTGATTATACTGGGAGTGTGCACTTCCTAACAGCTCACTGTGGTTCCTTCTTTCTGTCTTTAGATGCTCATCTTTTTCTGCAGGTTCCAGTTTTTTATACCAGTGGTTGTTCAGCAATTAGTAGTGATTTTATTGTGTTCCTGAGAGGTGAGTCCAAGGTCCTTCTGCTCTGCCATCAGGGCCTAATCTAAAGAGGGGGCCTTCTGATTACTAAACAGGGTAAGCTGCTGAATGGAAAACAAGGTCTCCCACAGACTGATGAAAGGTGTCCTGCAATTTCAGAAATGCAGACTGCCTGCCTTAACGTGTGGGTGTGTGTCCGTCGGAACAGCTACTACATTAAACATACAAAGACCAAGTTACAAAACTCCATAGTTCTTACATATTTCATCATGTCCTGAGACAGTCAGGTTCCACTCACAAATTTATCTTTGGAAATAAGCTGTGAAAATCACCCTTATATTCCACCCCTCGTGAAAAGTTGAAAAGCAGATCTGTGTCTCAGCATTAAAGGCTACAAAAAACACTAGGTATTGCCTCTGAAATACTTAATCTCCTGACAGCTGCTGTGGGAAACACTTCCACTGACACTTCAGTGTTGTGACAGCTGGCATCACCCCAGTTTCACCCCGTGCCGGGGCCCTCCATGACGACAGGAGTCGCCCACACTGGCATTTCCACTTCAGCTCCACTCATCAGTAAGGTAAGGGCCTGGAAAGGAAGGACAACCAGTACTTAGTGTAGCTCTCAAAGCAGGTTTGCCTGGACCATCGGGCCTTCCTGAGGCCTACAGAATTTATACCATGTCCTGTATTTATTAACCTGTCTTACAACTGATAGTACCAACCAAGGCTAAACACAGGTCTAATCTGAGGGACATTTGGTTACAAAAAGCTTCCTCTTTTCAAGGTAAAATCTAATAGGGGATCGAGTTCAGGCCCAGACCAGGACTTGCGTGGGAGCCACGGCTTCACAGCTGCCTAGGGTCAACACTGCTCAGGAGTCGCCACTAGTACCCTGGGCTCCAAACAGAGGGGGGACCGTGTACTGCTTACCCACAGTAGGCCAAGTTCCACTGCCCTCGGGTGAGTATGTGATGACTGACAGGGGCTGCGGCCAGAAATAGAGACCCACGGTTCCTAGAAAGTCATGTGTGTTTTGCTTCGTGTTTGTAGACCAGGCGGACTTTGGCTTTTGTGTCCCATCAGCGTAGAGAAGGCGCCGCCCCCTTCCACTGGGCTCAGCAGAACGCAGCTCACTGCTTCTTGGCCACTGAACGTCCACAGGAACGGGGTCCTGGTCGTCCTCGGAGACAGGTGCTGGCAGTGGGGACTGGGGGTAGGGGTGCATGCTCTGCCCTGGTCCGGTTCTGAAAGATCCTGAAAGAGGATCCTAAAATTTCTCCTTATAACTCAGATGTGGTACACAGTCGACGTGCAGACTCTAGAGGCAGACAGCGATGGCTGGGGAGGGGGCGCCCTGCCTTCTCCACGACCCCGCATGCCCCGGCCAGCGGCTGCGGAGACGGTCCTTAGACAGTCAGGTTCCACTCACTCTCCTGTCGTCTGGCAGCTTTCAGATGCTGGGATTCCTTTCCCTCTGCCTCTGTAGGTGCTTTTATTCAGAAACAGGATTTTACATTCTCCCAGCTGTAGCATTCATCTGTCTAGCAGGGGAACAGCTGCTTCCCACGCCTTCATCAGCAATCTTGACCCAACTGTAAGTTCACTGAAGTCTTTTGGTCAAATGCAGATAATTAAAGGAGTGGAATTAAGGCATTCTGAATTTCAAAGTTAAATAAGTATAAATAATCACTAAGCATGGTATGGGACATACCTAACTAATGGGCACCATTTTAAGTTTGGTTATTATTGTATTTACACATAATTTTAGAATCAGTTTTAACAGTTTTATAGTAAGTCCTTTTGAGATTCTAAAAATAGAACTGAACTGACTTCTGCATAGTATTAGGTCTTCTCATTCACAGCCATGACACTCCTCTCCATTATTTAAATTTTCTTTCATGTCCTTCAGTGTTTCATCTTCTCCAGTAAGACATCAGCATGGTTGTCAGGCCTTTTCCTCAGTAACCTTTTTTAAAATCGCTATTGTGGACGGTATCCGTTTTCCTCCCATGTAATTTTCCAGTTAAATACCGCTGTTGTATGTTTGTATGTTAAGGCTACATTTGGTCACCAGAACTGTCTTCATTGGCTCTGACAGTTCTATCAATAGACTGATTTTCTAGTAGATTGACCATATTCCTTAGAAATGAGATTTGTCCTCACTTTCCAATATTTATATCATTCTTTTTCTTGTCTACCTACATTGGTGAAGACCTCCAAGTACATCGCTGAAAAGAAGCAGTAGAAAGTATCCTTGTTTGACTGCTGACTAGAGTGTGTCTAGTATTTTTACCCCTGAATATGATGTTTGCTCATCTTTTAACAAAATCAGGAATTTCTAGCTTAGTAAGTTATTTTTGTTTTTGATTTTTAAAAAAAGGCATGCCATTAAGACTTAACTACAATTTAAAATGATTCCTCTTGAGGAACTCATGATTAAAGAGAAACACATAACAGATTGTTACTTGCTTTCCTTTGGCACCCTGGGAGCTCAGAGCCACACCAAGTGAAATAACTGCACAGCCGGCTCATCTGTGTTATACTGGCACCATTCCTTCCCACCGCCCACCTATTCTCACGTATATCATCCAACACGTTTTCCCCTTACTTTACTAGTTTAAGGCATGGATCTCTTGTCAGTGGCCACAAATCATTAATGAAATGAGATGAAGCATAAATGAAAACTTTTAAAAGAGAGGTAGCTACATTTGGATTTAAAATTGAGAATGAGAGAAACAGAACATGGGCAGGAAATGACTGCTGACCTGCTAAGTAACAAATTCCTTAGTGATCAGAAGAGCACATGGAGACCTGACACTTGAGTGGCCATGTGACCCACGTCTCTGGAGACACCTGGAATTGTTATATTCTGTGGGTCCCCAGTATAGTCCAGAGGAAATCGAGCAGTTAAATGAGGCCTGCTTATTTATACTTAGACTGTTAAGCTTAATTATTTGTCATAAGTAGCCATTGGTAAGCAGATTTTCATTTCATACGATGAAGAGAAATCCAGCAGCCATTAACACTTTTGAGTAACAAGTGATTAATTTGTAGAATGTACAAAACCAGGCCATTTAAAATCATTTTTGGAAAGTATCAAGGAAAAATAATTTCACCCATCTTACAGCTGAGTAATATAACTAAAAACAGCTATGCCTTCCAACAGGAGTGTAAATAAGGGCCTTAACTTATGATTTTATTGTCCTTGACAGGCCTTTAACTATGACATACATGTTTCTTAATTCAAATAAAAATCAATTCCCTTTTCTTTTTAGGGCTCAGAAAATGGTTTACCTAAATAGGTTAACAACAAAAAAATCATATGGGGACTATGGCATATAGTTTGTATCTGTAAATCTCAGCTCCTCTCCTAATTTATCCCCCCTCCTTTTTCCCTTTGGTAACCAACCATAATTTATTTTCTACATGAGTCTGTTTTGTAAATATATTTGTCCTATTTTTCAGATTCTACATATAAGTGATATATTTGTCCTTCTCTGACTTACTTCAATTAGTACGATAATCTCCAGGTCCATTCATGTTGCTGCAAATGGCATTATTTCATTCTTTTTAATGGCTGAGTAGTATTCATTGTATAAACGTAACACAGCTTCTTCATCCAGTCATCTGTCGATGGACATTTAGGTTGCTTCCATGTCTTGGCTATTGTAAACAGTGCTTCTATGAACATTGGGGTGCAGGTGTCATCCTGAAGTAGGGTTCCTTCTAGATATATGCCCAGGAGTGGGATTGCTGGATCATATGATTAAGTCTATTTTACATTTTTTGAGGAATCTCCATACTGTTTTCCATAACATCTGTACCAAACTACATTTCCACCAACAGTGTAGGCGGGCTCCCTTTTCTCCACACCCTCTCCAGCATTTATCATTCCCAGACTTTTGACTGATGGCCATTGACTAGTTTAAGGTGATACCTCAATGTAGTTTTGATTTGTATTTCTCTGATAATTAGTGATATTGAGCATTTTTTCGTGTGCCTATTGGCCATTTGTATGTCTTCATTGGAGAATTTCTCATTTAGATCTGCCCATTTTTGGATTGAGTTGTTTGCTTTTTTCTTAAGTTGTATGAGCTGTTTATATATTCTGGAGATTAAGCCCTTGTCAGACAAGTCTCATCTTTTGCAAATATCTTCTCCCATTCCACAGACTATCATTTTGTTTTGCTTAGGGTTTCCTTTTCTGTGCAAAAGCTTAAGTTTGATTAGTCCCATTTATTTATTTTTGCTTTTATTTCTGTTACCTGAGTAGGCTGCCCTAGGAGAACATTGCTATGATTTATGCCAGAAGGTTTTGCCCATGTTTTCTTCTAGAGGTTTTATGGTATCTTGTCTTATGTTTAAGTCTTTAAGCCATTTTGAGTTTATTTTTGTGCATGGTGTGAGGAAGTGTTCTAATTTCATTGATTTCCATGTGGCTGTCTAGTTTTCCCAACAGCATTTGCTGAAGAGACTTGTCTTTTCTCCATGGTATATTTTTGCCCCCTCCTTTGAAGATTAGTTGACCACAAGTATGTGGGAATCCCCATATGATTTGATGCAGCTTGACAGCCACCCTTTCCCAAAGACAGACAACTTTCTTTAGTAAAAGATGTTAAATTTATAAATTTATAAACATTTAGGATACCTTGACAAATACATAGTTTAAAAAAAAAAGCAGCCCACAAGTTACAAAGATTTTGCTAATATGCAAACTTCCAGTGTATCTGAATGTGCATATTCAATCTACTTAACTGATTTATGTGTAATGTGGCAGTTTTTTTGAACAAAATTCAACTCAATTGGGGGGTGAATGATACATGTATTTATGCCCTTGACAAAGACAGTAAGTGTGCTGTAACTGGGAGAACACAGTTCCTGGTTACACCCCCGTCCTGCTCATCAGAACTCACCAGCTGCGAGGTCAGGCAAACGTAATGGACGGGGCTCCAGGCAGACACACGCTTTCATCATACAAATCCTCTGGTAGCTCCTCTTCATCTCCGTCAGGGAAATATGTAGGGAATGGCAGATTTTTACCCAAATCCTTATGTGCAGGAAGTATGGAGTCTTTGATCTGAGGGGGAGGAGGCAAAGCTCTTACTAATAAGTGATACCAATTAAGTCAGCATGTTTTACTCATAATCAAGGAATATCTGTTCCTACATTTTCTAATGTGAACAACACAGCTGTTTATATATAAAGTAAAAGAAACTCAATGTGTATTTTTTATCCCCCAAAATTCAATTCATCCAGTGACACAAAGACAACCATCCTCACGTTAGCCAGCCATCTCCTAAGAGTAAAACAACTCTGATTAGACTTTACCTGTAACTAGAACTGCCCAACAGGATAAATTATATTCTACAATCACTACATAAATACCAATTATATCTCAACTGATTTTTCAAATATAAAGAACTGACAAACTATACACTTAAAAGGTATTACTATCTACTTCTTATGTATTGATTTTATCATCTACTCATACCATCTGTTTTTATTTTCTACCATAGATTTTTTTTGTATTGTGTTGAATATACGCTAATTTTCCTATTACTAAAACTTATGTTGAATTATGTGCTCTTAATTCTGACCAACAAAAACACCATGTAAATTTAACAAGTCATATTCTCATTGACAAGCTAAGGACAGAATAGTATTTAACAAAAATAATAAACCCATAAATCTTTAAAACAGCTCTATAACTCTACGTTCTAAAAATCTAACAACATTTGTAAATTCATAAACTGAGAAACAGTGCAAATATGATCTAGAATTTTTCTTGATTTTTGGAAAACATTACTAGAGTTTTCAAAGTTTGACTCATTCTACAGACAGCATCCATTCAGAGAAATAAAACATTAGACATAAGTTATACAGAGTAAAGGTTACTCATTTCTTACTACCAAAATGATTGTTATTTGGTTGAAGTAAAGTACACAGCAGCGAGGAATAGCTAAGTACAGAATTTCTCATTAAAATTGTTTCAAGAAATTATTAGTAAGTTGCCCAGAAGAGAATAAATTCCTAATCGTGGGTTAAACTTGAACTTGGAAAAAAACAAGTTACATTCTTACCAATTTATCTCAGAATTTATAACTGAAAATAAAACCCAAGCAAATAAACACAAAAAACATTATGTGCTCATCTGATAACTGTGCATCCTCAGGCATGGACGTTTTACAGCTCTGTCCTAGCTGAGGAACATTTGGGATGGACGCAGTACTTACCTATTTAAAGGTCACTGACACAGTCCTGCAATGCACTGATCTGAAACACAAACGCTGACATCTCCCCTACAATGGGGCGGTCCCCCTTGAAGGAACGTGCATGACACTACGGTAGGTGTGCGGTCACTCTCACCCCGACTTTGGTGTTTCCCTGCCTTCAGGACTCCCTCGACTATCTACCTCGTTCTTTTATATCTATGTGTATTGGCAAAGCAGTCCAAATCCTTTGAGGAAAGGTGAGCGTAGGAAGCACAAAAAAGCCAGGCAAATCTGAAAATAAACTTAAATTATAAATTAGGCTGTAGGGACGTGACATGCAAATATGTCAAATATGTCAGCATCACTAACACACGACAGATGCTCTAAGTGCATTTAGTGAATCCAGACCACACAAAGCTTACATTAGCTAAACAGGCTGGTCAGCCCTGAGACGAGCTTACTAAGTTGAGTGAAGAACACAGTTCCCAGCAGCCCTGTGCCCTGTACTCTGAGGAGCCACGAGGTCCCCTGGAGGGAGCTGGCGCTGACGAGGCTGCTCGCCCAGCAGGCAGCCTCGGCCTCCAAGGGCAAGGGGCTTATCCCTCTGCTGGGCGACCCCTGGGAGAGTGGAACAGTGGGTGAATCTTCAGAGAACATGTAAGACACTCCCCAAACCCCCACACCTAATGTTTGGGATGGACATTTAGGGTTACAAAAGAGTGAAAAGATTTATCAAAATTTGTTGGAAACATATTCACTAGAATGTTAAAAGTTCAAAGTGCCTAGACACTGCTCTCATGCTGCGGTTTCTCAGGCTGTGTCTGGACTCCTCTTTCGGAACTGCCATCTTCAGTGACAGCAGGCCCTCACCCATCATAGGGAAGTGGGCGGGGAACCTGAGTAATGAACTCTGTTGGTTATAAACTGTCTCTAACATTCGGATCAGAACCATTGAACACATGGCCGTTTTGAACACAGCTGACCTGGTCACCCCTGCCGGCTTCCACCACTGTCACTGCATATGTGACTGGGTCACCTGGACACTGGAAACTTATGTAAACCCACCAAAACCCAAAAAATCTTCTAAGCATTAATCAAATGCATTTCTTTAAGGAAAATGAGAATAATCCAAAGTGAAGAGTTCTAAAAAGGGAATGTTAATTACTGTAAGATTAAAAGAAATACTGTACCTGTCCTAGTAATGGAACCTACCTTAAGAAATGAAAAGAATACATAGAAAAAGACCCAATCTGAAAAACCCAAGTTTCAACCTACTTTTGTTATTACTGTTGGACAAATAGTGAAGGATCTATTTCTGGGAACTGCTGATACCACTTTTATTACAAATTTATTTTCAGAATGGAGAATGGAAGACTAAAATTCAGAAGTGAGCTCTCACTTTGTATTATGTTGGCTTAAAGCCCAGGCAGAATATTTATTTTGCAGTTTACTTGATAGAAATAAGTCGGAGACCTTAAGAACTTTTTTTTCAAATCTATCCTGTACAATGTTTTCTTTGTTTTGAACACAAAAATGAACATGAATAGTTTAAAGGAAAACACTTAAATGTGTAATCAGAGCAATGCTAGTAGTAGTAATACACCTTAAAATGTCTACCTTAGCAGGGGAACATATCTCAACACAATAAAAGCTATTTATGACAAACCCACAACCACTATAACATAACACTTAATGATGAGAAGTTGAAAGCCTTCCTGCTAAACTGGAACAAGAACGCCCACTCTCACCTCTTCTATTCAACAAGGTCTTGGAAGTCCCGGCCATAGCAGTCAGACAAGGAAGAGGGATCCAAATTGGAAAAGAGGTAAAATTATCACTATATACAGATGATACTATAGTATATATTGAAAACTAGAGACACCACACAAAAACTACTAGAACTGATAAAAGAAAGAATTCAGCAAGGATACAAGATTAACATAGAGAAATCTGTTGCATTTCTTTACACTAACAATGTCAGCAAGGGAAAGTAAACAATCCCTTTTAAAACTGCATCCAAAACAATAAAATACTTAGGAATCAACCTGACCAGGAGGTGAAGATTTTATATGCTGAGAACTATAAAACATCAATAAGGGAAATTAAAGACGTAAAACTAGCCCATGTTCTTGGATTGGAAGCATTAATACTGTTACAGTGGCCATACTACTCAAAGCAATCTACAGATTTAATACAAACTCTTAACCAAATTACTCAGGATATTTTTCACAGATGTAGGAAAAATAATCCTAAATTTATATGGAATCACAGAAGCCCTGGAACTGCCAAATCAATAAACAGACAAAAGGATCATGGAACAGAACAGAGAGCCCAGAAATAAACCCACACGCTTACAGTCAATCTTCAGCAAAGGAGGCAAGAATATACAATGGAGAAAAGACAGTTTCTTCAGCAAATGGTGTTGGAAAACTGGACAGCTGCATGTAAATCAGTGAACTTAGGCTACTTCCTCACACCACACACTCAAAATGGCTTAAAGACTTAAACATAAGACAAGACACTATAAATCTGTAAGAAAACCTAGGCAAAACATCTGACATAAATCTTAGCAATGTTCTAGGGCAATATACCCAGGCAACAGAAATAAAAGTAAAAATTAACAAATGGGACCTAATTAAACTTACACACTTTTGCATAGCAAAGGAAACCATAAGCAAAACAAAAAGACAACCTATAAAATGGGGGAAAATATTTGCAAATGATGTGATAAGAGCTTAATTTCCAGAATGTATAAACAGCTCATACAACTTAACAACAAAAAAACAAACAACCCAATCCAAAAAAGGGCAGATCTAAACGAGAAATTCTCCAATGAAGATATACATATGGTCAAAAGGCACATGAAAAAATGCTCAATATCGCTAATTATCAGAGAAATGCAAATCAAAACTACAATGAGGTATCACCTCACACCAGTCAGAATGGCCATCAGTCAAAAGTCCACGAATGATAAATGCTGGAGAGGGTGTGGAGAAAAGGGAACTCTCCTACACCACTGGTGGGAATGTAGTTTGGTGCAGCCATTATGGAAAACAGTATGGAGATTCCTCAGAAAACTAAAAACAGACTTACCCTGTGATCCAGCAGTCCCACTCCTGGGCATGTGTCCTGAAGAAACTCTAAATCAAAAAGGCACATGCACCCCAATACTCACAGCAGCACTATTTACAAGAGCCAAGGAATGGAAACAACCTAAGTGTCCATCGATAGATGACTGGATAAAGAAGCTGCGGTATATTTATACAATGGAATACCACTCAGCCATAAAAAAGAATAAAAAATGCCATTTGCAACAACATGGATGGACCTGGAGATCATCAGTCTAAGTGAAGTAAGCCAGAAAGGGAGAAAAATACCATATGCTATCACTTATATGTGGAATTTAGAATATGACACAAACGAACCTATTTACGAAACAGAAAGACTCACATAGAAAACAAACTTACAGTTAACCGGGCGGGGGAAAGGGGGTAGGGAGAGAGAAATCAGGAGTTCAGGATTACTAATGTATAT